GTTTGTGATCGAGAAATGTCAATATAGGAGCAACACACAGATAAAGTTATTTCACCATAAATCATTATGGGTTCGGAAGGATTTTCAAAATATTCAGCATGAAATACACTCTGAGATAGGTTTCGAGCACCCATTGGGGTACCCCAGTGCTCTATCTTGGGCCCCAGACTGTTCACATTATTTGTGAACGATCTCCCTGTCGGCATACATTTAGACCCACTCAAGTATGCAGACAACATTAAGATCTGCCGGGAGATTCAAAGCCCGTTAGATAAGTGCACCCTGCAAGAGGACCTAGACAGGCTCTTTACCTGATCAGTCGCAAACGAGTTGCCATTTAACCTTGACAAATGCAAGGTTATGCGCATTGCAGGGCATTGTGCAAACGACTAATTGCTGATAGGTAGAACATTGCAGAGGGTCAGGCACGAAGAGGACCTGGGCACCTGATGATCTGTCCCAGAAAACGAACTGCAACACACTGGCCCGGAGAGCAGTGTTCAAACTCAACCTGCTAACCCGACTCCTGGGGAAATTAATAATAATAATAATGTATATTTCACGAAGCCCGTGAAGCATGCACAGAGCATGATCTTATGTTCAAAAGAGTCGTATGTACATCAAAGGTGCAGATATATAGAAGGTCCAGTTAGAGAGATATACACAGTGCAGACGGCAGGGGACTGGTATGGAAACGCAGTGCAAATGGAATACGAAGTGGACAAGGTCACATACGTTGATTTGGAGGATGAAGGAAATGCACTGGGTGAGCATGTCAAACGGAAAATAAAGGAAGAGCAAACCTTGTATTGAGAGGATTCAACGTGCGAAATTAATGGGAGGAAAACACGGATCGATTGTCTGTGACACTAAAAACTGGAGGAGATGGAGACTCGTAGATAGAAATGAATGGGAAAGAGTGGTACAACAAGTTTATACAGTTCTGAAATACATGTTTCTTTGTCATCTGCATAACAGCTTGCTTCTGAGAGCACATTCATTTGGGTTTCGGGGCTTCGGTCGTCAATGGGTTGATTTAAATTATTTAGGCGTTGGTCGCTTTGATGTGGGACTGACTACACGCTAGACACCCAACCTTAAAACACCTTTTAGGTGAGGCATGGGGTGTGATCCTCAACCTGGTCCGGAATGCGGACGCATGTAGTCTGAACGGTGGATACAACCGCGCCCAACAACCATTGCCGGAGCCAAATTGTCCATTGTGTGTGCAGACCTCAAGGCCTTGGCAGACCCAAACCAACCGATTCTGGAACAAGAAGGCGAAACACAACAGTCTGGGATGATATCTAACTGAGAAGGAAAAGGGGAACAAAACATGTCACGAATAACATGCACCGTGGAATAATGCGAAAAAGTACGTGTACCTACAACTATATAAATAGAGAGAATTTAAGATGTAATAGGTCAAAAGCATGCATCTACAGGGAATTTATTCCACATATCTAGCTCTGAGGCTGGATCCGTGTACTGATATAAAATTGTTTGAGAAAGTGGACACTGCTACCTGATGAGCAGGTGCTGCAGGGCTTAGCCAATTGAACCGAACAGAACAGAGATCAGTGGGAAATTAATTAGGCAATAATGGGTCACAGTACTTTGAGAAGCACTAGAGTCTTTCCCCAAGATTTGTGCTACGCTCATTCGGCCACACATCCAGACGTGCCCGATACTGCATAGGGGGGATGTCAACGCCATTGAGTGGGTACAGCGGAAAGCCACCAAACGAGTACAGGGTTTGTCACGAACACCCTAACCGGATAGACTCCGTTTGCTCAACTCGGACAGCATGGTGTATAGGAGGGTAAGGGGCGACCTGATCCTCCTGAGGGACGCACTCAACGTTCAGGGGCAATTTAACAGACATCTGTTCACGATGGCTTGTCCGTCAGCACTGCGCGGCCATTCCACGAAACTGGAGAGGCAGCGTCCCAGGCTGAGAGCCTTGGATCACTGTTTCTGGGTACGTGTATGTTGCCCTTGGAACTCATTGCCAACTACAGTAGTCGGAGTTAAAGTAAACAATCGTTCAAAAAGATACTTGGCCAAAACAACCGAACAGTACCCTATCGCTCTGTTCGACATACCGTTACGGGCAAACGGAGCGACCCCGACCTCGGGCATCTGGGCAACGGCCTTTGATTGCCGAACATTTTTTGGTGATCCAGACTTCTGTGACCGTAATCCATGCACGACTAAGTACAGTTTCATGTCATCCAATCACGAAGCTC